TAAAAATTTGATTTGCACATTTTAATTCGTGTGAAATCATTGCAAATTGGATGTCCTTTTAGGTAATTTTGATGCTCCGGACGCATTGACGTGATCCTTTTCGCCGCCGGAAGTCGTTCTGACGAATTCATCGATTTGCGTGCCAATTTACTCGTGTCGAAAGTATGGCAATATGGGTGTCCTTTCCTACTAAAATTGGTATCCCAGACGTGTCGGCGCAATCCAATTTGTCGTCGGAGGGCATCCGGAGAAGTTCGCATTTTCGCTCGGAGGTCATCCGGAGAAGTTCGCATTTTCGCCCGTCCTTTGGGCTTTCGTGTAATTTCGTGTCGTGTAATTTCGTGAACTTTGTGTATTTGATGGGTGTATGTGACGAAAAGGTCGTGACGATATTTTCCTAAGGCTTGAAGTCCTATCAGGAACTTTTCCCTTGAGTCTTTGCAAAATAATCCATAACCACTCGTCTATAAGACGATGGTCTTGTGCCAAAAATGCTAGACATCAAAGGAAAATAGGAATTGGCTAGAATTTTCTAAAAGGGTGAGTCTTAATTCTAGTTTTCTAAGACGGTCAATAAGAACTCCTAGAACTAGATCCTAGGCTCTAAGGAGGAGAAGAGAAGACCTCACAAAAATGAGGTCAACACTCTGCAAATGTCAGACTTATGTAGTCTTGACAGTCACCCATATTTAAAAAAAGCTACTCAGTTATTGCCACCGATATGATGGTCAAAAGCTAATTTGATTCAGAGTTTATTCTCAGGCCTTTTTTCCTTATTCCTATATTATCTTGTATTTTTTATATATACAAATCATTTTGTAGCTTTTCCTTTAGCGTTCAAGATACTAAATCTTCATCTATAAATAGGGAATCTTTTGGAGAGCCAAGTTTTTGGATTTTTTCATTGTATTTTATTTCTGAGTTAGTATAATACACTTTTCGTTCTCTGTTCACATCTCTGTTTTCAGCTCTTTTCATTTTATTTTGGATAGTAAAGCTCTAGCATAACTCATTAACAAAATCGGATCCAACATATGTTATTGATTTTTCTACTGACATGAATATTAGTACGCCTTCAACATGGAAAATTGAATATCATATATAGGTGCAATTTGGCCTTCAAAGTATCTAATTAGTATTTCTTTGAGTAGAATTTCTCTTCATTGCCAATAACATCAACTCCAATTTTGTCTCTATCTCTGGCGTTAGCCCCAATTGTTGAGAACATTATGCCAAAAGAGGTTATATGGAGTCCTTTAAGTGAACAACATATTTATCCAATGATTCAGATGACTTGTGGGTGATTCATTAATAGCTTCAATGTTTTTATCCCAATTTTTTGGATGCATACCTTGAGCTTAACTCTCAAGAGGAGAATTTCAACCTCAGGGGAGTTAATTTTAATTGTCCATTTAAGCTTATGTTTGATATTGGCGACCTATTAGTTAAAATACTCCATTTCTTCATTCAGCATTTTTTATTTTGGTAAAATTTGAGATTTATTTCATAGCAATATTTTTCAGTATTGTTTTCTCTTAGGATTTATTTGGCACCAAACTTGTCTTTATGAAAGGATCCCTAGGGCTTAGGCCAATGGTTTTTTATTAAGTATTGAATAAAACAATTGAGATTTTTGTCTCATTGCCGTTGATTGATCTCTCCCCACTCATCTTAGGATTTATTTTGTACCAAACATGTCTTTATAAATAAGGATCCCCAGGGCTTAGGCCAGTGGTTTTTGATTAAGTATTGAATAAAACATATGGGATTTCTCTCATAGCCGTTGATTGATCTCTCCCCACTCATCTCTCTCTCTCTCTTTCCTCTTCTCTTCCCTTTCTTTTGATTAAAGCATGCCGCCATTAATCATAGAAAACTATGAGGATGGGGAGCTGCTTGTTGGTGTAAGATTTGATAGAAAAAGTATTCTTATTCTATAATAAGATTGGAAGCTCTCTCTCTCTGACATGCACCCTACGCTAGAATTGTAACTTGAATTTTCCCCCTGCAAGGAAGGAGGAGGCCAACGACAAAATCAAATGTTAATCAAAAGGTTTAACTGTTTATCATTGTTATTCAGTCAACAACTAACGATCATTTGGTACGGTTTTTCTTGTTCGTTTAATGGCTATCAGATGTTTGTTAGATTTTTCTTTACATCATCAAATCAGCTTTTTTCTTGCTTCGCTTCATGTTGGGATTATTGTGTTTAATCTAATAGGTATACGGGGCCTTGAGGATGTCAGTAAAGATGTTCTTGATGTGGAATTCCAAAATGTCTATTAATGGAGGCGGGGACACACTAGTAGCAACATCTTTATTGGAGGCCAGCAATTTAATTGTTTTGAGGGTATCTCCCCTAATTCAGCTGGTCTTTTTCTTTTAATTGCTCATAAGTGCTTGTTTATAAAATGGTTGTTTATTTCAGGAAAATTCGGCAATACATTCCAATGCTAATCTCGGTGTTCATGGACAAGGACTTTTAAATTTATCAGGAACAGGAGATACTATTGAAGCACAACGGCTCATCCTTTCTCTCTTTTATAGCATCAATGTGAGTGTCATGTTTTTTGCTTTCTCTTTAATGGACATATTTAAAAAAATATATTTTTTTTTCTGGCCTCGAGAATTGTTTATTCTGATGATTAATATTTTCTTCTATGAACGTCACTTCTTTTTACTGACATATTGTCAAACTTCCCTTTCTTTTTTTTCTTAAATTTTATTTGATTCATACAATTATTTGTCTATAAGTTTGCAATCTGGGTTGTTCCTTTCTTTTGTTAACAGCAGAGTTTTAATTTAGTCTTGCTGTATAGTATTTTAATTTGTTGATGACCTCAATTTTTGGAACGGAATTATATAACCCTTGTGATATAACCAAGAGTTATGTTTTAAGAAAACCACATCTCCTTTGGTGTAACTTCATTTTATGTGCTCCTGTATTCGGTGTCAATTATTATGTGTTTGTCAACAAGTTGTACAACAGTGGTGATATATGTTATTGCAACATCGAGGCCCTTATTTTTCCTACTGCATAACGTTTGCGGAATGAATTTGTAGAGTTGGTAATATAATCAGTCAGGAGGCTTGCAAGAAGAAAAAAACATAATGAATTGGATTCATGGTGTAGACTTTTTGTGGAATCTGCAGGAGATATGTTTGGCACAAAGGATTAGGTTTTCAATGGAATGTATTGAGTGATAATCACGCTTTCCCCTAATCAAGGCATTAACCAAAGAGTACTTTTATTGTTTTTTTCAAACTAAATGAGTGGCCAATATTTAATGTCTCCTTCAACTCAGCTGCTGTGTCTTGCAGCTGTAGGCACCAAATTGTTAGATTGGGGTGTAGGTGATTGCATGATATTGTTGGCAGAGAGGTGAAGGTAACCGTGGACTCTTGTTAGTCTGGTTTGGAGAGAGAGAGAGAGTGAGTGAGAGAGAGAGAGAGAGAGAGAGAGAGAGAAAGAGACACTTCAAATCAATTTTTGTTTAGTAAAACTTTATTTTAGATTAAAAAAATGATATCTTTCTATATAGATCAAAGAAATTTGTACAAATCCCTTCAATTTCAAATGAAATTAAAAGATTAGAAACATAAAGCAATCGATTTATGTTCAAAAGAACTTAAAGATATTAACACTCATTTTTTAAAATTATGAAAGCCTAGAATACCTCATTCGAAGTGATTGGCACATAAAAGGATAAAGTTGTCAATTCTTTTGATAGAATTTAGGTAAGTTTCTTTTATTCTCTCCCACTAATCTTTTCGCTCTTTTTTTGCCCCTCATTTGGAAATTCTAAATTGCATTTTTTGTAATTAAGTTTCCACTCAACTCATATATGTAAAAAGAAAAGTGGCAAAATGGTCCATCGACTATTTGCAAGGAGCCAATTTAGTCCTAGGCTTTATGAAAATGTTAATCTAGTTACCGGACTCTTTTAATATAGGTTGAAATAATCTGCAATGAAGACTATTTTAGCCACATTAAAAGGGTTTGGGGACTAATTTTGCACTTCTATAAACTCTAGGACTAAAATAACCTCATGTAAATAGTTAAAGGACTATTTTGGCACTTTACTATATATGTAAATATATCCTTCTAAGGTTTATTTTACAAATATTCTTGAGCTTCTTCTAACTCATAGCTCCCCACTACTCTTCAGCTCTCCTGTATTTTATTTTGCCTATGAATTCATCTGCAACTTCCAATAATGCATTTATCAACAACATTGCTCTGATACTTTCTGATTTATTTGTAATTATTTCACATGTTATCCACATAATGCGGTGTGCGCTGATAATATTTTTAGCCAATTAATAATGTTTTCCTTTTCTTTTCCTTTCCAGTCTCTCTTCTCGTTCCCATTATTTTGTTATTTATAATTTTGAATGTAAGATTATTTGCTTTATTTCCTTATGATCAAGGTTCAACTGTTAACATCCTATTCCTTTTCTAGCTTGGACCAGGATCTGTTCTTCGTGGCCCTTTGGTAAACTCCACAAGTGATGAAATGTATGCTATTATGATATTTGTCATGTTTAATTATATCATTTTTACCTCTTTTTAATGTGTAATCTGATGATCTTTCTTGTTTTCCACTCATCATACCAGGGCTCCTAGGAGGAACTGTGAACCCATGGATTGTCCTATGGAGCTGATTCATCCACCTGAAGATTGCAACATCAATTCTTCCCTGTCTTTCACCATTCAGGTAGCTTCTTCTATCAATATTTTTAGGATTTGTTACATAATGTGAATTTAAAATTTTCAACCATGGACATTGCTCTTGTACTTTTGCTTTTTAGATTCTATCTTATGACATGTTTTTAAAAATTTGTACTATGGTTGCCCAGATATGTCGTGTTGAAGATATTGGAGTGGCAGGCCTTATACAAGGCACTGTTGTTCATTTTCACAGGGCAAGAACAGTTGTCGTTCATCGTTCTGGAACAATTAGTGCCTCTGGTTTAGGTAACTATTAAAAACCAATGCTTATAATTTTAAGTTGAACTTTATATTTCATTTAATTTTTTCCTGGTAGATAAAGGCATCTGCTTTATTCTTTTTTGAAAACATAGCTAACAGAGGTCCTTCATATCATGGAAGGATATACCTGAATGCTTGCTTTTGACGACTGGCAGGCTGCAAAGGTGGTGTTGGCAGAGGATTGGTTTTGAGCAGCGGTGTTGGTGGTGGTGGAGGCCATGGAGGTAAAGGTGGGGATGGTTTAGTTGGCAGTGATTATGTCCAGGGCGGTATCACATATGGAAATACTGCTTTGCCTTGTGAACTCGGCAGTGGCAGTGGTAACGACAGCATGCCTGGTTCTACAGCTGGAGGGGGTATTATTGGTGAGCTTCCTTTTTTTTTTTGTTTTTTTTTCTTTTAACCTTCAAATTTTTCTTGTATATGTGAATTAAATAACTGATTTATTATGTTTGAACGGCTCTCAATGGTATGCATTTGATTCGGTGCTTGTGAGTTGTCTTTTTATGTTTGCCCTTTTTTTACAGCTGTTATTTAGGATTTATTTGACTTGAGATGATCTTTGCCAATTATTATGTTGTTTATTCAATGATTGTGCCACAAGATTAACATGAGGTTTAGTTAAAGTACCTAGGCAGTCTATTCAACTTCACTGTTGGTCAACCCCACAATTTTTAAGGTGAAGTTTGATCTTAAAGAAATTAGCCTGCTAGTTATAAATCTGTTGTCTATACCAGAGCTAGTTTGGCATGCAAGGCAGCTGCTATGGTGAAATGCTGAGGATAGTGTCAAGAACTTGTGAAGCCCATCCCAAAGTTTTTTGTATACTGAACTTCAATACTGCATTGTTTCTTGGCTATCCATCCAGTATCCAAGGATTGTTACTAAACCAGTTACCTCATCTCCTCTCATTTACTTTGAAATAATGGTAGCACAAGGAATAGAGGCAATTCTTATGCATAAGGCTCTCATCAATATTGGGTTTGAAGCTGGTTTGATGCATGCAATTTTGCACCTACATTGCAACTAAGCTGTTTTCTTTATCCAAACCCATGATTTTTAGGTCAAAATAAGAGTGATAAGGTGAAAAAAGAAGGTTGTGCTCGTTGTGCATGAGGCGCCCACTAATGCAAGATTTGTGCAGTGTATGATTCATATATTGTTATACTTGCATTTAGGAGCTGTTTGGTTTCTTGCATTATGTGTGTAATTGAAATCAAATGCAGGAGATTTTAAAATTTGGGTGCTTAGCCAGATGATAATGGAATGCAGTGTAAAATTTTAGTGAATATAGTATTCACCTTTTTGTCAAATTTTCAATTGATTCATTCAATTTTTAAATACGCTACAGACACTGTAGGTGATGCTGTGCACCAACACTTGCCACTGTTGTCAAGCACCACAACCACAATTTATTATAAGCCACCTCTGCCATCGACTTCTAGATGCCGCCGCTCGTTGGCCACCAGCAAGCTGCCATTGTTATTGTTATTCATCCGCTACTGTTTGCAGTAATGGTTAGCCAACCACCTGTCACTACCTCCACAAACCTAAGTTTTGCCGCCACACGGTTTCACTTTACTTTCATTTTATATCAAACCAAACACAAAATTAATCATTTGTATTTACTTGCTCCTAATTAATTAAATCTAAAACCTTTCACTTGCACTGCATTTCTTTTTTAGCAAGCAAAACGAAATGATGAATGTTTTTGTGAGTCAAGTCTATATTAACGCGAAAATGGGGGTAATCTAGCGATTGCTTCATCTATATCAACAAAATTTAATGAAAAATAATTCGAAATGAAATAGGATGCATTTTTCATTCTTACTGCAATGAAAATGTGAAAGTGCCATGATGGACATCATGTTATACATCCACTTCCTCTCGTAATGAGGCTAAACTATGAAGAATTGTCTGCAAGGCGACTCAATGAGTTGAAAATGGAAAAAAAAACCCCTTAAATAAAGGCTCGATCAATTTTCCATGTGAAAATTAAATGAAGCTTGTTGGATTATATATAAGTTGTTTGTTGATGTCACAAAAATAGAGATATTATGATATGCGTGGTAAAGTGAGAAAGGTTGAGGAATGATTATATTAAAGAGATAATGAGAATAACGAATATTAAAGCTAAGCTATTGGAAATTATTTGGGTTTCATTTGGTGTAGCTGTGTTGCGACTGTTTGGTTGCTATGCACATATTGTTGTTGTTGGAGAGCTGATTAGTGAGTTTGGGGTTACCAAAATTCTTTATCACAAAATCAAAATAGTTTTTTTGATGAGCAAATCAGAAAAAAAAATTATGCTAAATGAAGTTTTAGGTGTTATGGGCCTGTATACATATGGGGGTGGATGATGCTACAATTAAGTGTTAGGACAGATACAAGGTATACCCAAAATAATTTGTCTTGGTGTTATGCAAAATGATTTAGACATAAGAGGGTTACCCCCTTTTTGTGGTATTAAATGGGAATCAATCGAAAATGTGGATTCATAAACCTCAAAATCTCAAAACGTTTGGGTAAGGCTAATAAAAAAGAATTTTTCTTCTAGCTATATTAGCATATTATGTATTTATGTGATTTTTTAATTTATTTTATAGTACTAAGATAGACGTTGCAAAAAACTGTGTAATACAATTAATTAAGAGGTTTTGTAATGCACACTAATCACCTAAAAAATAAAGAGAAAAAAGAAAAACATAATATATGATTTGCGCTCTCGTACTATTCAACCGGCACATTCCCTCCTTGCATGTAGCTCTCATATTCTCACATGGCTATACACATGGCAAGGAAATCAAACCTCAATCTTGCGTCTTTCTCATTGCATGAAGCATGCAAGTAAGTTTTCTCACTTTTAGGACTCTCAACCCTCCTACTTTTAATGCATTGCCCTTTACTCGCTTCTAGTTTTGTGCATGCGTCATGACATGTCCATGTTTGTTGTTCTTCACATGCCTTTCTAGTGTCAAACCCTCACAAACTTTTTTGTCCAATTCCAGCATCGCATTCACTTGTTATTCTTTAGCATTTCCTTACATCATCTTCTTAATATTATTCTCATGATTTCTCTAGAGACCATTCTCTTTCTTACAAATCCCTCCAAACCTTAGCTTAGTGACCTCAAGTTTAATATTCTAACACAATTACGATTTTTATATTCTTTCTGACAAATCCTTGACACACATGTAGGTAAAGAAACTTAAAAACCTCTATGTACACATTTTGATTCAACTAAGTGTCAAGACCTCCTCATCTATTGATCATATATTTGATCTAAGTTTGAAAACTTTTATTTCAATTTATCTTTGATCCATGATCGAGTTTGATGACCTCCGAATCCTTCAATCTTTTATTTGACCAATGTCTTGCCTTTCACTGCTTATCTTCAATTCGGTTAATAGGAGAGTTTATCTCAATAACTTATATGTTATCAGTGCATTAAATACATTTGCTCACTCATTATAAGGGAATTAAAAGTTCTCTGTCCCGTTAATCTCTAGCAAGATGAGCAATAAAATAAAAAGATCGCAAAATGATAGCTTTTTAAAAGGTGCCCATAAATGTACAAAAACCACCCATGTTTGTTGATTTTTTATCTTGTTAGACTGTTGAAGAGCTGCCAATCTTTATCCAATCGTTACAAAGACCCCATGCTCATCAATTTTTGATTCGTTGCCTTTGAACAATAAACTCCACTCTGTGTCAATTGATTTTTATCTAATTGGAGTTTGAAGGCCTCCAATACCTTTGATTTTTTTATTTAACTGAAGTTTATCCTCCTTTTGTTGATCTTTGTCGTGGTATATTCTGAATCAAAACACAACTGAAATTTTATTGTCGTTGTTAATTTATAGGTGTGGGCGACACATGGCTGCCGCATTATTGACATACCCATGACCACCAATCTTAAGTTGGAGGTGGTGTTTGTGTAGATAATCATATTTGAGAGAAATGTTAATCGATATGGATGCATTTATTGCTCTGTAATCTGTGTATAAACTATTAAACGTAATATAAAAGTTTATATGATGAAGTTTAAATAAAGATCTTTTACATTAATAGTGCTACAATCCATGAGAGACAAACTATATATGAAATATTTTACAAATTTATTTGATTTAATGACCAAACAATTACTACTCTATTAACTTCATGATTATATTTAGCCACAAAAAGATCTTGGAATGAGTTTAAAACTTGATTTCTCTCTTATTTTAACCACAAAATGTCTCCAGTCTCTCTTGGTTCCAAATCACCTTGTCTTTAAAAATAGCCCAAATTTAGTAAAGTGAAAGAATTTGTCACGATCCGGTCTGATAGTTTAGAATTAATTAAGTCAGAAACTGCGGTCAGACTGTATTAACATTTCATTTTTGTGTGTTAACTTTTTATTTTCCTTCCACACACGCAAGAGCCACTAATAATTCACAAATACACATAAGAAAATTTAAATCATCCAACAGTAACATTGCATTGTTTTCTTTTGGATTGTGAGATACTATTGTGTGGATTTAAATGTTTTACTTGTAGACGTTTTTGTTACTGTTGGATTATTTAAATTTCCTTATGTGTATTTGTGGATTATTAGTGGGTTTTTTATATGTTGGAAGTTTAATAAAATAAAATAAAATATGCGGAAGGAAAATCAAATGGTAATATCGTCCGACCACGGTTCCAAACTTAGTTAATTCTAAGTTATCAAGCCGAGTTGTGACATAACTAATTTTTCATAAGAAGTTGAAATATAGAACATATAAAAAATACCTTCAAATGGCTCTGAGGCCTCAATTTAAATGCTTATGGTGTGTTACTTTCATTTTTATTTCCATCTGTAACAATTTTATACAATTGTGATGCAAATTGTATGTTAATTAGTTGTTCAATGAACTATTGCATTCATATAATATTTCTTGTTAGCTTGTCCTTCCTAGGACTGTAGCAAAATGTCATTTGTTTATTTTTCTGGGGGAGTAACTGTAAGAATTAACAGAATAGATCCTTGTTTAAATTTTTTTACATATATAATTATTTTCTGTGGTTAATGCACGATTATAGAGTAGCGTACCTATGATTGCCTATATTTGAATTGAGGATGTTTGTATTTCAACAATATTAAGGTTGTGTGATGGCCATACCTATCATTAGTTAGTGGCAACTTTATCTTATTAAAACCAAGTTATATGCCACCATTTTGTTGTAGTAGTAACTCACTGCTAATTTATGGCTTGATGCATGAATTTTTATAACTTATACAACTTTTGATTTTATCTGTTAAACAGTTGAATTTCGTAGTTGAACTTGTTGGAGTGGGTGTATATTTTTTCTTGGGAGTTCTATAAAAAGACTGTTGTCTATACAAATTTGATTGTTGATGTTCATATATCTGTTAAACAGTTGAATTTTGTAGTTGAACCTTTTGGAGTGGCTGTAAATATTTTTGTGGGCGTTTTATAAAAAATTTTGGCCATATAATTTTGGTTGTTGATGTTTATATATCTTCACAAAGGCATTTTTACTCTAATAATGGTTGATTGTGGACTTTAATTACAATATTCTTGGGAGGGGGGTAGCCGTTAGCCTCCTTTTAGGAATGCATTGTCTGTCACAATTTTAATTATTTTTTTATTTAGGATGGTTGAAAATGTTTGTAGAAGTGTATTTCACTATTTTGATTATTTTCGGTTTGTTTGGGGTGATTGAAGATGTTTGTAAAAGTAGTTGTGCTGTTCTGGAAAAAGTTTTTTTTTTTTTAATGTGATATTTTTCTTTTGAAAAAATTGAATAACTTATAGCTTCCATATTCTCTTAGATTCGGTTGTAAAAGAAATTTGCCAAAATAATAAAATTTTAAAAGTAGAAAGAAAAAAATATTAGACAAATGGAGTTATGGCTGTTTTTTGAAAAAAAATGCTCTTGAGAAAGGCTGCCCGAAACAGACTTAAAAATGTAATTACTGGCCATAAATCAGTTGACAGTAATTTTTTTATCATGTACTTGTTCCTGTTTCAGTCAATTGATTGCAGTTTGCTAACTGGCAGTTTTATTGATGGAGGGTTTTACGGGTTATGTTTAGTGTGTTTCCCTGCCAATGCTATCCTTGACGAAACCTGAGATCAGAATAGAGTGGATTCTATATGTTTTGGTGAAACTGTTCACAGAATTTAGGTTTCTTCTTCAAATTAGATGAAAACACAGGAAGGGATTTTTGTTTGGGCTTCATTATTGACAAGCATATATCATTTGTTTGAGTGGTTATATTTATATGTTTTGATTTTTAATGCAGTCCTTTTCTTTCTTTCATTCTATGTCGGGGGTGGGTGATGGTAGATGAGAGTATTGCCGGTTTCATGAGTTTGGCATCTTTGTTTTCTTGAACCATAACTGCATGAGGCAGGTATCATGTTTGCTCTTTTATTTGCTGAGCAATTTAGGCAAATTGGTTGCAAACAGACTATTGTTGGTGAGGATAATATTCTAGCACATTCGGAAACTTATGTTTTTTTACTCAGAAAATTAACATCATCGTAAGTTTTTGAATGCCATTCAAGATGGAATGCACTCTATGGAGTGTGCAGAATAAGCTACAATGCTCAATATTTGTAAAGCTCGACTATTTTCATGAATATGTAGATTTTGTTGATAGCATATTACACTGTCATATGTACAGTTTCTTTTATTTTTATTTTTATTTTGTTGTAATGCGTAAATATATTTTGTGCTTTTGCTAATCTGAAATATCTTACCAGACAAGATAGCATTAGATGTAGATTGATAAACGAATGCGTCTAAAATAGAATATCACCCTTGTTTTCCTGATGCTTTTGTTATTATTAATATTATGATCATCAAACCTTCTATTAACTACTCTACTTTCGATGGATGTAACAGCTCTTCTCTTTCTTCTTTTTTTTTTATCTATCATTGCAGTGATGGGCTCCTTGGAGCATTCTCTATCCAGTCTTTCTGTCCATGGTTTTATAATAGCGGATGGCGAGAGTGCCTCTAATATTTCAAATTTCGGACCTGGTGGCGGATCTGGGGGTACAATTCTTGTGTTCTTGCATAATCTCATGCTTAATGAAGGATCATTTGTTTCAACTATTGGTGGTGTTGGTGGTTCAAACAGTGGAGGTGGAGGTGGCGGCAGGGTTCACTTCCATTGGTCTAACATTCCCACAGGAGATGAGTATTTCCCTATAGCCAGCATAGTGGGAGCTATATCTGCAAGGTCTGTTACTGAATTAATTTTGTTTCTTTGTTTTTTTGTTTCCTCTTTTTTATCTTCGATTTGATGATGTTGAAGTATTTTTGCATATAAGCCAATTTTCTAAATTTTAAGTGTTTTGTGAGTCAAATGCTCTTTAAATTGACCGTTAGACAAACCTTTTTGTGCTTGATCTTCTTTGTTATTTGTTGAGCAGAACATAAGTTGAACTAAAAAGGCATTGAAGTTTTTCAATTTTGTAGATTAGTGAATGATTGATTATCAACTTTTATTTTTATTCTCAATCTTAATATGCTCCCTTTCTTAATGATCTCATTTACTAATTTTATATTATTGCATTTAAGTGTAAACTTAAAATTTGAAAATGCCTAGTGCAGGTTACTAGGCCAATAGGAGACATTCTGAAGCATTATTCTATGTTTGCATTTTCTAGTTGTTCGAATGTGGCAATAGATTGAATCTCTGGCTTTTTTACTTGTCTCATTTATTTATTGTTGATTCTTGCATTAAATATGAACTTAGCTTTTTAAATAGCTTTACTTAGCTTATTAGGTAACATAGAATGCACTAAGGTTTACTAATAATTTTGAAAAACATAGGGGGAAGAATACCATATTTTCTTTCCCAATTGTGTATAAGAGGTGGACCATTTTTAGGAGATACACCTTGAATGAAAAAGACAATTAGGTGATGAAAATTGGTCATAGTCGGCCACATAAAAGAGGCAAAAACAAAAAATAATTAGCTTAATCGAACGCAATGAAGTATAGAATGAATGTAGAAATTACGTTCATTTCTTACTAGATAACTATTGCTGGCATAAAACAGCTTGGAATGGAAGGATCAGCATGTCAACAAGGAGAGGGACTGTTAGACAAACAGTTGGTGGCCTGCAGTCTGAAAATTTGCTAAATCTTTTGTTGGAGCTGCAACATTGTTTCATGTGCTGTTGATCATCTGGCTGGTTATGTGCAGGACATCGAGTGTGATTATTGGAATTAATAGACTACTAGTTGTAGCTTTTGTAGGTGTTCTCTAAATTTATGTAATGTTGGCTGCAGCTTTTAATGCTCTATATTTCAATATTTTCACTCTCTCCCTGAAGCTGGGAATGTATCGTAATCATTTCTAACATTGGAAGTGTCAAATGGAATTGATTAGAGCTTTAGTAAGGATATCAGAAATCTGATATTTTTTTGGTGTGTAATTAACTTCGATAATTTCTTGTTCAGTTCTCTTTTAATCTTTAATGGAGAAAAAGGATTATGTAGCTGGCCCCACTTCGTGGGATAAAGGCTTGTTGTTGTTGTTCTCTTTTAATCTACCTTGGCGTGCTTAGTCATGTTGTGGTGTACAAACTATTAGCAATGCTAATAGCAGATTAATTTTCACATCACTTTATCATTAATTCTGCTGTGAAAATTTTTTTGGTGTTTTGAGGATTTTTTTATGCTAGATACCTTCACAAATTCCCGGGCTATGGCCCGAATTTTACTTTAGCACTGTTTTGTGTAGCATGTTTTTCTACTTATATGCATAACTAAATTTTCCTATATGGATGAGCAAAAAAACTCGTATGGATTTACGATTAGTTATGGATTTGGCCAATTAGCATCACTGAATATTTCTATACCTATGTTAGTCTCTTTTTGAAGAATAACCCTTTTAGGTGTGCCTTTGTGAGATGCTAGTATCTTATTTACAAAATCATGATGCTCCTTTGTGGCGTTATTTATAAGCTGATTAACAACATTAGCAGGAAAGCTAATATTAGTTGTAGTGTAGGATAGGTAGATAAGCTTTTTTTGGGACATGTAGATAAGCTTCTTCACCAAAAATTTGTACCTCTTTTTATTAACAAGAGTTGAATCTTTTCTTTAATTAAAACTTCGTTTATCTCTTTTAATTAACAAGAGTTGAATATTTTCTTTAATTAAACTTCGTTTAATGTAGGTATTCTAATGAGCTTACACCCTACCATACCTGTTTCCTTGGTAAATCCATGGTGTGTTTATGTTGAAAGATAAATAATCCTTTGCTTGATCTTGTGAGTTCCATACACTCATAGTATTTTACTAGATCATAATCATTTCAAATTCCTTAGATTGGCTACCTTTTAGCTTATTTATCTCTTCTTCATGAGTCCCCGTCAAGATGAAATCATGAACACATACAATCAAGAAAGATTATACATTTTAGATTATTTGTTGGTAAAAACTTGTACTTAGATTGTTCTTAAAAGTGTTCATGCCTTTTAATCACCATGGTGAATCTGCCAAATCATGCTCTTAGTTTTTGTTTGAAATTCTTTATTGTCTTTTTGGGTCTATAGACTTGGTTCATATTGGTATTACGTTCAAATTTTAGAGAGATTGTCATATAAACTTTATATTCTAAGTTCTCATTTGGGAAAGCATTTTGTACATCTCTAAGTGATTAATTTAAATTAATGCAAGAGAAAAAACTTAATTAACAATGTTCATCTATGCAAAACCATAGATTTGAGTAAACTCTTGCAATTACCGTTGCTTTGTATCGGTTAATATTTTCATATGCTTTGAATTTCATAATGAAGATTCATTTGCATCAAATAGGTTTCTTTTTTTTGGGAAGATTTGGAACTTCCGTATGATTTTCTTAAAGGTTTGCTTCTCTTCATGTGTTGTATTTCTACGTTTGAGCATCTGTAAAGCTTCTTAAATAGTGTTGGATTTTTCATGCTAGAAAGATTCAACATAAAGGCCTGGAATCTAGTTGATTATTATCATAAGAATTGTAATGATTTGTTGGGTGTTTGTTGCAAGTCTTTTTACTTTTCTAGGGAGTAGCAATGTTTGTATTTAGATGGGTTTTCAAATGAAAAAATTAGGATTTGAGGCATTTTATTCTAACAAGGCGATGTGTGAACCTCGAGACAAATCGATACTTGAGCCTCAAACCAATATATAAATTAAAACTTAAAATTAAAAAATTCATGAAAATCTCATAAGTCGTAGACATTTATTTAATTCATCATTGTAAATTTTAAAATAAATCCGAATCTTAAATATTAATCTAAAGTGAAACTAAAACTTTTTACAACACGCGTTCGAACTATATTCAATTTTTTTTTGAACTATGATCGAATAAGGATTAAGCATGGTTTGAATACGTTCAAACATGTTGTCGGCACAAAAAAGAGAAAGGAAGAGATTGTTTGGGGGGTCGCCCGTAAGAAGCTGTCGGCAGCCGGAATCGAAATCCCGTCGCCCGCTTCGGAAGGACTTTTTAATTTACGTATATATATATATATATTTTAGAAAAATATGAAATCAAACTGACCTCATATTTTTCACAGTTTAAATGAAAGAGCACTCTACCTCAAATCCTGTATCT